CGTGTCAATTGGGTCTTCATTCGCATCCTTTGTGATTTTTCTGAATTTTTCTGAGCACTCCAGAGTGCATTTTGGTTGTGTCATATCCATACAATTCCGACCTCTGCTCCGGGCTCCCAGAACTCCAAAACTGACTTCCAGAGCCCTACTTCCCTTCCGTCACCTTCTCCTTGCTGACTTCCAAGGGGTTATCCCACCACCGGCTCCAACACCACCTTCGGTCCGACTCTGGAACATTCTGGGTCTGACCTCAACCTCAACACCTTCCAGATGAGCATGCAACATCTATGCTCCTGACTCCGGGCCTCCGCTCTGGAATCCTGTTCATGTCTCTGTCTCCAGAACCTCTGGTCTTAGCTCCGACCTCGGACTTTGACCCCACCTCTGCTTATACCCATTGTATTGGTTAGCTCATTCCATTTAATTACATTTGCCAATATTCCGGAGTTTAACTTCCGAGTTTGGACTTTCCAGACTTATGTCGGACCTTGCAACTATTGCATTGCTCCATTCAATTCCGCTATACTCCCTCATTCCTATTTGGGCTGCTGCTTCCTTTCTATTCAGTCAGCTGGCCATTCCCCACTCCCATCCTCCCTCCTTCCTCCTTGGGCCTTGGCCCTTCACTTCTCCTTTGGGAAACACCATTGAGTCAAACCCTTGACCCTCAGTGTTGACCCTCCTTTCAGCTCCCTTTGTCTCCTTTCGGAGTACCCTTGCTCCTTTTGATTCCGGACCCCTCCTTATATACAATGTACATAATAACTTGTAACCTCAGTCCGAAATCGACCTGAAATGCCCCCAAGAGACTTTCCCTCTGCTATATCCGAAATTAGGGACCCCCAAGACAACCAGCAATGGCACAGTGCTCCACCTGAGTCGCTGAGGCCAAGGTCCTTCCACGCTAAGTCTCCGATTCCACTCCAGAGTTGTCAGAGACCAGGTTGAGACGAAGGAGTGTCTCCATGGCGGAGGGCTTCAGCCTCAGTGACTTATGCCAGGAGCGCTGTGCCAAGTAACACATCCATGCCCTAACTTACTAAACTGGCAACCAGAACTGAAGGGGGGTAAACTCTAGTCGATTTTATTACTGAGGTGTAACCTATGTACAAGTTGAGTATAATGAGGGTGGGGCTGTAAATGGCGGAGCCAAGCTAACAGGGTTAGACATTAGCTGATTGAATATTACCGACGAGTTGGGTTACGGGGTTAACAGAAAGGCAGGCGATAACCCAGAAACAGAAAGGAGGGATAGGCCAGAAGGTGGGCTTTTCAGGGTAAGCAAGTGTATTGCCTAGCGGAGGCAGGAGTGCGCTAGCGGATGTCGGGGCTGTCTGGAAGCCTTTGGGGCTCCATACTTAGGGAGGCATAGGTAATAAATTGAAAGGAGGGGGTGGTGACCATCGAGGGGTACCAAGGGGATTGTGGAATATGGGAGCTCTGAGGTTAGTGAAGAAGGAGTGGAAGTAGACCGGAGGGATCGGAGGGATCGGAAGTCGATGGCCAGGGATGGATATGACAGTATCCCCTTCTTAGGCCTGAACCCTTGAAGGCCCAGAATTAGTAAGGTGAGGGGAGCTGTACTTACAGAAAAGAAAGAAAAATGAAAATGGAAGTGAGGAATGAAGAGAAAGGGAGAGATGGGAGAGGAGTCGGGGTTCCTAAGGAGCTTCAGGTCCAGGCTTATCTGGGTACCGAGAGTGGAATGCTTTGATGAGGTTGGAGGCATGATCGAGTTTGCTGGAAAGGAGCCATTGTGTCTCGTCAGTCCCTTCATAGCCTAGCCACTTGACCAGGTAGAGCAACTTGTTGTGCCTACGCCGGCCAATCTTGGAGTCGAGTATCTCTTCGATCTCGAACTCGAACTCACCTTCAATTTCTATGGGAGGTGGAGGTGGCTGGTGGCAGTTCGGAATGATGTTCGGGACAGAGGGTTCGATCTGCGAGACATGGAAAACCGGGTGAATGGCTTGCATGTTTTCCGGCAGGCAGAGGGTGAGGGAGTGAGTTCCAACGTGGGCAATGATCTCGAATGGGCCAAGGTTCTTCTTGGAGAGCTTTTTGGAAGGTCGGGTGGAGCGGAAATACTTGGCCTTTACATAGACCAAGGTTCCTACTTTGAAAGCTGGGGCAGGACTCTGATGGGAGTCTGCTGGGCCCTGGTAACGGATCTGAGCAAGATGCATTTCCTCACAAAGGAAGTGATGGAGGGAGTTGAGATCTATGGAGTACTCTTGGGTGTGTACTGATGTCAGGTCTCGCTCCGGGTGAATGGTGATGTTCGGATGGTAGCCTTTGTTGGCAAAGAACAGAGACGCCTGTGGTGGCATTTGGAGCATTGTTGTATGTGAACTCTGCGAGAGGCAGGAGTTCGGACCAATTGTCCTGCTGGTAGTTACTGTAGATGCGCAGGTACTGCTTGAGCATCTGGTTCATCCGTTCAGTCTGACTGTCTCCTTCTGGGTCATAACTGAGGTGAAGTGGAGGCAGATGTCGAGGGCCTTACCACGTGAACGGAAAAAATGAGAGACAAACTCCGGACCCCTGTCGGAGGTGACGTGGGAAGGAACTCTGTGCTTGGAGAACACATGGAGGAGGAAGAGCTTGGCCAGTTCCGGAGAGGCGATGGTATTGTGGGTAGGAATGAAAATGCACTGTTTAGACAGGCAGTCCACAACGACCAAGATGGAAGTGAATCTGGAAGAGGAGGGTAAGCTGTTCAATGAAATCCATGGAGATGGAGTTCCAAAGACGTTCAGGGATGGGGAGTTGTTTGAGCAAGCTGTAAGGCTTATGACAGGGGACTTTGGCACGGGCACAAGAAGTGCAGGAGGAGACATAACTCTTGACGAAGTTACGGATGCCCAGCCAGGTATACTAACGACGTACTAGATCCAGAGTCCGGTTTTGACCGAAGTGTCTGGAAAGTTGGTGGTTGTGTTTGTCTCGCAAAATGCGGAGACGGAGATTGTTGGAATCTGGAACGTAAATGTGGTTGTCCAGCCTTAACAGGCCTTCAGCATCAACGGACCAGCGGGGATTGGGGAGGTTGGGGGAAGCGAGATGAGAAGAGATTGTGGTGTCGGAGGAGAGGGAGGCTAGAATGTCTCGATGGTGAGCCTCTGTGTTGACGAGTACGGCTGCTCGGATTAATGTGGCAGCTAGGAACGTGGCTTGTAAGGATGCAGTGAGCTGCTCCAAAGTGAAGACCGGTTGGAAGTTCTGTGGATTGATGCGAGCGTAGTCCATATCCCCTTCTTTGGGATAGACGTTGTAACGGGTCTATCAATCTAGACTCGTGGCTCAGGTCTAGGGGGGGTAAGTCTCTCTCTCTATCTCTAGGGTAGATGGTCCTGCGAGTACGGTGCTGATACTCTGTCTAACCTCTAACTAACTGTCTGTACAGTTGTCACGGAAGATTCCGATACAAATATAAAAGGAAAGTCGCATGCGTGAATGAATGAAAATAGTAAAGAAAATAAAGAAAATGTCAGATCTCCTCAACCACTCCACCAAATCCAACGATCTTGGACTCGTCAGAACCACCTCTACAGTCTCTACAACTCCTACTATTACCACAACTCACCAATCCTAGTCCCTGATGCAGTAGGGGGTGAAATGTGTGATAAGGGTTGGTTTGACCTGCACGGACTTGTCCCCACAACAACGTCCCAGCATCTAGTCAACACATCTGGTTTTACTCCGAGTCTTCCGGGACGGAATCGGACAGTCATGTGGAACTGGGAGAGGAACTCTGACCAGTGGGCTTGCGACCAGGTCAAGAGTTTGGTGGTGGAAAAATACTCAAGGTTCTTGTGGTTGGTGACGACGTCGATTGGGGTTCCTAAACCTTCAAGGTAGTGATGCCACAATCGGAACGCATCATGAATGGAAAGCAGTTCCTTATCATGGGTGTCGTAATTGAGCTCCGGCACCGAGAGTGTTCTAGAGTGGAAAGCGATGGGGCGAATCTCTCCATCATCACAACGGATGGACAGGATTCCGGAGATCGCATAATCGGAGGCGTCGGTTTCTACAATGAGGGGGGCGTTGGGTAACCAATGTGTCAGGATAGGAGCAGAAGTGAAGACTTCTTTCAAGGTGTTGAAAGCAGAGCGACAGTCGTCAGAGAATAACCAGGGGGCTCCTTTACATGTAAGGCGTGTCAAGGGGACCACAATGTTGGAGTATTGGTGGATGAAACGCCAATAGAAGTTAGCGAAGCCAAGGAAGGATTGGACATCCTTGACTTTACGGGGCTCAGGCCAATCTTGGATGGCTTTGACCTTCTCAATGGACATGGTGAGTCCGGAGGGAGAGAGGCAGTATCCGAGATATTCCGTAGTGTCTGTATGAAATTTGCATTTCTTTGGATTGGCATATAGGCCATGTTTGTGGAGTCTCCTAAGAACTTCTCAGACATGCTCCTGATGTGAAGCCATGTCTTCCGAGTAGGTAAGGATGTTGTCTAGTCAGACTACCACAGAAACGTCCAAGAGGTCAGCAAAGATTGTGTTGACAAATCGCTGGAAGGCTGCAGGTGCATTTGTGAGACCGAATGGCATAACAAGCCACTCATAGGAACCATAGCGCGTGTGGAAGGAAGTCTGCCATTCGTGTTATAAAAATGGGGCCTAATTGGCCCATTTCTATAGCGTTCGGGTGCAGGAGGGGGCCGTGACATTGAGAAGATGTTACAATTAATGTAACAGGTGTTGTAACAAAGGTGTTTACAGTAACATTGACATCGGGTTTTTGGGTAGTAATTGTTGGTTAGGTTGTTATTATTTACATGTCACGTGATATTGTACTGCATAGAGCCCATAAGAGGCTAAAAATGGGAAAATCCCATTTCCATAACAATTCGTCGCCTGCTGCAATGCGAACCAGGTGGTAAGCATGCCAGAGGTTGAGTCTGGTGTAGACTGTGGCACGGCTAGGTGCATCAAGGAGGTTGGAGATGTGGGGGAGTGGGTAGCGATCCTTTTTGGTGATCTTGTTCAGCCCTTGGAAGTCAACACAGAGACGGAGGATCCGTCCTTCTTGTGGATGAAGAGGACTGGTGCCACATGAGTGGAAGTAGCAGGACGAATGAACCCGGAGGCTAGGTGTTCATCTAAGAATGCCTGGATGTCAGGGCACACACCCTGACTAGCCCGGACCCAGACCCATGTCCGGACCTGCTTCCACCTGCTGCGCTTCCCACACACACGCTCCATATGCCGCATGCTCCGGGCCCGGTTCCTACCCCTTCATGTGACTTCCGGGTATCCCCGGAAGTTTTGCTGATATTGTGGCCACTGTGGGAAGATGAGAAGTTAGCTTCCTTCTCATCTTCTTACCCACAGTAGGATTGTGCCCTGGATAGGGCTGGCCAGACCAGAGGCTGTGGACCATAGTGGAGGGTAGCTCGACCTGCTTGCGTTGCACCATCTCCCTAGACTTTTCCACCTCGTCACAGTGCGAACTCAGCTGTCCAAGGTGGTAGATACTGTCGTAGTACTTGTCCACCGCACCATCCAGCTGCTCCACGACTGCCTCTGACACCTGTCAAAGTACTGGAAGCGGTCTGGGGAAGCCGCTTCGATGACTACCCCAGAGATGAAATGATAGGCTTTATCTTTCCATCCAGCGAACCGTCTCAGCAAGGCCCACCACCCTTCGTTTCTCCTGACCATGTCCATGATCCGAGCAACATCAAACCTGTCCAAGTTGTCACTCGTCTCGTCCACATCCTGTTTCTTGAACATGGCATCCACTGTGCCTTGACAGATCAGGTGAGATAGGAGGATCTCTTCCAGTAACTGAACAGCATCATGAGAAAAAAGAAAAAAAAGGACAAGAAGACAGCAAGAGTACTCTTATGCCATCGGTGTTATGACCCTTAGCCACGCATAGTTTTGGGAGCGCAGTGTCCCAAAAGAGCTCCTCGTTATCTTGAGTGAAATGGAATGCATCCACATCCTCTTGCTTCCTTCTTCCACCATGCCCTTTCATCTGACTCATCATCTTCTTGGCCTGCTTCTCCCCAAAGACAATGTAGACCAACTGATATGTAGGGCTTCAATGAACAACACCAAACAAGGACAGAAAGACTTACGAGAATGAAGGTCCTTTGTATCTTGGACATCTCCAAATTAACTCGCAAGTTGTTCGCCTGGAGATAGGCTGGATGTAGGAACTTGGAGAGACGTCAAGAAAAGAAAGGAACAGGGAAAAAAAAAGCTCACATCATCAGGGAGGAATCCCCAAGTGTTCGACTTGCGGTCCTGAAGGGCATTCCTGAATCCTGTCATATCCGTGCATACCCGACCCCGACCCGACTTCCGGACCTCCACCCTCTTCACCTCCGGAGTCATAACCTACCGCCGCCATTCCGATACTCACCTTCGGTCCTGGCAACACACCTCCTTCTTACCCCCCCACGCCACCTCTACTCCTCCTTACCTCTCCAACCCTATCTCCGTCCGCTCCGATACTCACCTCAGACCGAACACCGCCCCTCTCTGCCACCCTCCTACTACTCCTCCTCCTCCTACTCCGCTCCCCCTCCGCAACACCTCCACCCTCCCGTCATCCTCCTACGCTTCCCCCGTCCGCTCCGATACTCACCTTCGGACCTGACAACACACCTCTCTGCCACTCCTTCCCCCTTACCTTTCCCCTCTCTCCTCCCTCTGGTACTCCTCCGCCACCCTTCCGCCAAGTTACGACCTTCCGCCGCTGTCCCGTACTTCCTACTCGGACACCGCTCGTACCTTCGCTCCGAGCCTCCGTCATAGTCCCAACCTCGGACTTTGACTCTACCTCGGTCTTAGTCCATTGCATTGGTGACCTCATACTACGTAAACACCATTGCCAATATCCCTCGGACTTTCAACCCCGCCTCCGTAACCTCCGTAAGCTCCGCAACCCCCGAGCTTCGCGGATCGCCTTTGGCACTTTCGCCGCTTGTAATGTATCTCTCACATTTACCCCTCATCCCTATTTGGACTACTGCTTCTTCCCATTCTAGCCAGTTAGTCATCATCCCCACTTCTCCTCACCCTCCTGCCCCTCTGGGCCTTGCCCTCCCTACCTCTTTTCGGACGTATCACAGGTCCTGCCTTATGACCTTCGGTACCGCTCCACTCCTTCTTCCCTTTGTTCCCATTCGGACATCTTCGTTCCGATTCGGTTTCCCTTTGTTTTCCTTGTGCTCTTGCCCCCTCCATTATATATATCGGCACTTGTACAGTTCTCCAATAAACTGTTGCAATGTTTTGCACTTTTGACTTCATGACCTTATAGCATGATGATGATGTATTCTAAAATTTCAAAAAAATATTCGAAACATGTAATAGTATCCCATTTAAATATGTACCAATTATGTAAGCAATATGTCCATTTTTGGTAATGTTATATAATTTACAAACCATCCAGGTCATTGCAATGGTTTATTGGAGTACATTTTTGGGAAGGGAAAATGGCATTAATTAATACTTTGTATAGCCACCGTTTGCTCTGACCACTGCCTCAATCCTTCTAGGCATACTCTCAATCAGATTCTGGCAAATACTTGGATCTATCCTATCCCACTCCTCCTGGAAGCGATCCCACAGCTCCTGAACACTACTTGGAGGTTCTTCATATTCCCCAAGCTTCCTCTTCACATGATTCCAGAGATGCTCGATTGGATTGAGGTCTGGAGACTGTGAGGGCCACTTCATGACCTCAATACAGTGGTTATTGAACCAGTTTTGGGCCTTTTTGCTGGTGTGTTTGGGGTCATTGTCCTGTTGGAAGAGGACATGGGCTGGGTTTTTGTGATAATATGATATGGTTTCCTGTAGTTCCTCATCCAGAATTTGGCAGTACAGGTCCCCATCCATCTTCCCATCAATCTTGCATGCCATTCCAACCCCATCCCAGGTCATACAACCCCATACCATGATGGAACCTCCACCAAACCTTTTTGTGCCTTGCACCAACCTGTCAGTGAGAGGCTCCCCCACCCACTTCCACACCCATTTCCTCCCATCTGAGCCCAGACGATTCACCTTAGTCTCATCAGACCATACAACTCTCTTCCAGTCCTCTAGAGTCCACTCCTTGTGGCTGAGGGCAAAATCCATCCTGTCCCTCTTGTGACGCATGGTGAGCATAGGCCTTTTTTTCTTCACCACTGCTTTCCAACCAGCTTTTTTGAGCCCTTTACGTACAGTCTCAATGGAGAGGGATGTGTCATTGATGTTTTGGAGTATTCAGGTGACTTGGGATGAGTTGTCAGCCTTCCCAGAGTTGATGAGACGACAAGCATGGCGAATATCAGTGTCAGAAAGCTTGGATGGACGACCACCACTGGGCTTGGGAACATCAGAACGGTGTTTAGACCATAGGCGAGTGACAGTGGAGTAATGGTGGCCAGTAAGAACTGAGATTTGGTGAGCACTATGGCCAGAATCAATGAGGGAAAGGATTTGTTCAACTTTTGAAGTGGCTAAAGGGTGCATTTCGGATTTGGGGCCTTATCATGTGAAGCCCTTCGGTATTTATGCTTTATTAATGTCCTTTTGTTTACTAGTGTGTACAGTAAACAATATCACATGACATGTCACATGATATTCCTATTTTCTGTTCAGCCTGGGGGTACTCCAATAAAGCAATATTGCTTACATAATTGGCAGATCTTTAGATGAGATACTTTCCCATGTTTTGAATATTTTTTTTGAAATTTTCAAATACATTTTCATTGTGCTATAAGGTCATGAGTTGAAAAGTGAAAAACATTGCAACAGTTTATTGGAGAACTGTACATACTCGTTTTGGTTCAGTCCGAAATTGACCTGAAATGCCCCCTAGAGACTTCCTGCTCACCTACTGTGAAATTAAGGACCAAATGGACAAACAGCAATGGCACAGCGCTCCGCTTGAGTCGCTGAGGCCAAGGTCCCTCCACGCTAAGTCTCCGATTCCACTCCGGAGTCGTCTGTATCAGCCCTGTTCTAACAAATCCATCTGGAACCCTCTTCACTGTTAGAATCAGGCGGATTCGGACGACTCCAGAGTGGAATCGGAGACTTAGCGTGGAAGGACCTCGGCCTCAGCGACTCAGGTGGAGCGCTGTGCCATTGCTGGTTGTCCTAGGGGTCCCTAATTTCGGATCTAGCAGAGGGAAAGTCTCTTGGGGGGAATTCATGTCAATTTTGGACTGAGGTTACAAGTTACTATGTACATTGTATATAAGGAGGGGTCCGGAATCAAAAGGAGCGAGGGTACTCTGAAAGGAGACAAAGGGAGCTGGAAAGAGGAACAACACCGAGGGTCAAGGGTTTGACTCAATGGTGTTTCCCAAAGGAGGAGTGAAGGGCCAAGGCCCAAGGAGGAAGGAAGGAGGTTGGGAGTGGGGAATGGCTAGCTGACTGAATAGAAAGGAAGCAGTAGCCCAAATAGGAATGAGGGAGAATAGCGGAATTGAGTAGGACAATGCAATAGTTGCAAGGTCCGAGGTAAGTCCGGAAAGTCCGAACTCGGAAGTTAAACTCCGGAATATTGGCAAACATAATTAAATGGAATGAGCTAACCAATACAATGAGTATAGGCGGAGGTGGGGTCAAAGTCCGAGGTCGGAGCTAAGACCGGAGGTTCCGGAGACGGAGACGCAAACGGGATTCCGGAGCAGAGGTCCGGAGTCGGGAGCATAGGTTTTGCGTACTCGTCTGGAAGGTGTCAGAGCCAGAGGTGGGATAACCTCTTGGGAGTCGGCAAGGAGGAGGTGACGGAAGGGAAGTAAGACTCCGGAAGTCAGGTTCGGAGTTCCGGGAGCCCAGAGCGGAGGTTGGGATTGTATGGATATGACATTCACCTCCAAGATCGCCCCTTGGCTGTATATCGCATTGGGTTTGTCGTTCAACACAGCGGTCCACCTAGGAGGGTGCTGGAAGTTGATGGACCATGAAAGGGCAAGGTCCAATGCAGTCACTGACATTACCCCCTGTGGTTGCACCAGGGCACTCAGCTGTGCAATGTGAGTTCTTATCAGCTGTGCATAGAGCTTTCTGAGGTGTCAGACAAAAAGATGACGAAACTGCATGTCGCTCACCTGATGCATCCCACAATGAGTCCACCTTTCCATGCTAGATGGCACTTTTTCGCATTCCCTCCAGCATGGGATCGTGAGGAGGTCCCCAATGGCCTCTGCCAGCTCACTCGATCTCCATACATCCCACAACGGCAACATCTCCTTCTCCTCCACCGCCCTCCAGGCTGAACCCAGTTCCATCGTAGCTGGTGCTGGATTCTTCAACTTGATCACCCCATGCATGACCGAAAACACGTAGTGCCACTTGTTCGGCACCTTGTCCTCATCTTGTTATCTTTGGCCAGCCAAACACGGAACATGACTTCATGGTTCTTTCAAAGAGCTGATGATGAAATCAACGACATGATGAGACAGAAAGGAGGATCTTCTCACATTGCCCATAGAGCTTCACCTTCCAAAATGCACAGGGATGCGCATACACTGCCTCTATCAGGAATTCCTGTGAGGACACTTCCTCATCAGGATGTGCAAGTTCATGCTCTTGCTGCAGCAGAGTCCTTATATGCATTTCCAGCAGGCCATTGATCATGGAGCATGTCCCAGCGACTGCTGGGATGTATCAAGCTGTAGAGAGGCGAGTCTCTTTATTATGTCCCATATGTAGCTTATACAGTTACAGGCTCCTCAACACTCATGATGTGGCACTGTGTCACGACCCGGCAATTCCCACGGTCAGGTGATCACTCCCCACACCTTCTCCCTCCTCTGCTTCAACCCCGTCAACTCCGCCGCCTGCCCGACACTGCCTGAACAAGCCCATCACCCTTCCCCGTCACCACTACCTGTTTCCATGGCCCGTCACGGGCCTACAAGTCTTTCCTTATCATGCTTGTTTTTCTTGACGGCTGTACACGGCCATCCTTCTCCCACACTCTTTGTTTGTTTTTGTTCCTTCTTAACCCCGCCCGCAATCTCTGTGAGATCTGGCGACTTAATTCTATTCATCCCATTATACTTAAATACCGGTTGTACACTACCTCGTACTTTAGTTCGAAAATCAACTAGGGTTACCCCCTGCACTCTCTGTCTGACTCAGTCGCACCTTCTGCCTTCTGACATATTGGGGCCGCGTCAAGTATGAGGCACAACGCTCACGAACGAGTCGTTGAAGCCAAAACCCCTTTCCGCCGCGATTGTCATCCCCGCCCTTGACAGGCTGTTACGCCAGAGCAGTGGACCTTAATGGTCACCGACGGTGAGTCACGGTAACGTTTCCCACACCCTGACACACTGGCTGAATTCCCTGTTGGCCACCAGGTTAATGTATGGATGGTGAGGACCGATGATTTCTGCTGTTGGCTCTGTGCATCCTCCCCAACAGAACCCAAATGGCATTGGCCTGAGCCTTTCCTGTGCTAGTGGCAACGTCGTGTTCTTCATCCCGATTCTGGAGGAGGGCCAGAAAATCATTGTGGATTTCGATGATGTGGAGGAGCCTGCCTCTCTAGGCTATGAGTGCCTTTACCAACCTCCACATCAGTTCTCATCCTTTGTTCTTTCACAAGGGCAAACAGTGTAAGTAAATCTGTTCATCTGTGAGTGCCCATCTCAGTTGTTCTGTCTTCAGTATCTTTCCACCTGGGCAAATCTTTGCCTATGCAAGATTTCAGAACCATGCATCATAACCCCTGGATGCATTATGCAAGGCTCATACTTCCTTGCTGCAGGGTGTATGAGGTGCTCGTTTTTGGCCAGCTGGCTTGATTGCAGCTCCAAGGATGACTCCACGAGTGAATATTCCTGGAGCTCTACCGTGACAGCATGCTGTCAGGGAGCGACCTGGGGTCGAGAGCACCCAGATGTGTCACCTGACACTGAGGACCCAATAGGGTGTAGCACAGGCACATGTACTAACGGACCCAGCACAAGAGGGCATCCCTGGCCACTTAGGCTAAAGTGGGAAGTGTGAGAAGAAGGTTACTTCTCAGTTCCCACTTAGGCTGTGTTTATGTACATGCGGTTGGAGGTCACATGGGGGTGCCACATCATCTACACACACAGCCATATCTGCCCAGGTATCTCTGTAAGAGATCCCAGGAGCATCTGGTGTGTGGGGCATCACCTGGTGTGTCTGGGTCCAGGCGTGTTGTGCAGCTGGGTTAATGGTACATCGATGCAAGGAAAGTCGTCTGTGTAGTAGAGAAGGAAAGAAGAAGAAAGGAAGGAAAGAAGAAAGAAGAAGGGAAGGAAAGAAGGAGAGAGGAGGGAGGAGAGAAGGGAGGATGGAGGATGGGGGCACTGGGTGAGGGTAGTGGGATCGGGTGGGGTCGGACCAGGTGGAGTGGGGTCAGGTGGGTGTGCCCTGACACATGCTTAATGGCCATGGTGTTGAAAGCAGTGCATGCACCATCCACTCCAGAACAACAACCCCACTCGGTGAACATCCCCAACTTGTTTTCACTGGCATCAATGGCACTCATGTTCATTGGACAGCAAGAGCACGAGATTGGGGAAGTTGCAAAGGCCCTGGGACACTGCTGTATCGAGCAGGATCCCAAAGCTTGTGCAGAGGTTGTGGCCAAATTCAACGACCTTAGGATTGCAAATCATGTGTACAAGGGAGATGATCTCACCCCTGATCAGTGTACAGAGTGTGATGCCAAGGCAGCTGAGTTCCATCAGAGTATGATGACCGCTGTCCAGAACATGCATTCTTCTTGACACTTGCACCCCTCCCCTTTTGATTTTTTTCTACACTGTCGTTGTACATTACTTCACACATGGGAACAAGTTCTGAGGATTTACCACGTGACATTTGACATGGTGTCAAACTGTCAGAGTTCTGGATTGCTGTCAGAGTCGGAATACTGTCAGAGTCTGGAATATTGTCAGAGTGAGGAATATTGTCAGAGTCGGGCAGACTGTCAGAAGACGGACTGAAGACGGAATAGGTTTCTGTCTGAGTCAAGGTCGGAGGTGATGCAGAGGTCTGTTGGAGCGCACACGCGGATATGTGGGTGGAAATATGCGGCGCGTCCGGAAGTGCTGTTCAAGGTTAGCAGAGTGGGATCGCGGCCTCAGCGACTCAGGTGGAGCGCTGTGCCCTGAGCTTGACGTTTTGGGGGAGATCCCGTATTTATGGATTGACGCTCACAGCGGACTTCAAACAAGACTTGCAGGCGGAGCGGACCTGTAGGAGGAGCGCAGACTCCGCAAGCACGGACTCAGAGGGGGGGAAGCCCCTTTGCAGAAGAAGAGACTCAGAACAGACAGGGGGGTACTCTAGTTGATTTCAGACTGAGGTCCCCAAAAGTATTTATAAGGTATATAAATAGGCAAGAGGGAATATAGAAAGGCCAGTCAGTCCGGCGCGGTCCGGTGCGGAGATAAGCGGGGATTGTCAAACTAAATAAGGACAGGAGCCCGGGAACTGGAAACGAGGAACAGATCAATAAACAATAAGTGGCAAGGGTTATTGATCAATAACTGAATGAGATCAATAACCTAGTGCCAATAAAGAGGGGATCAAATGCCAATATTGGCAGGGAAGCAAACAATGAATGGCACTCGGCAAAGAATGAATGACAAGCTGCCAAGTGACAAATGGCTGGAGGAAAAGCGGAGGTCAGCGCGCGGTGCCGATACAAGTCCGCAAATAAGCGGGGTCGGTGCGGTGCCGACACAAGTCCGCAAACAGAGGTTGATCTGCCAGCACTGTCACACAAGGACAGCATGAAGGCCAACAGAGGTACAGAGGTGTTGACCTGACCAGAGGTGTCAAGGGCAACCAGAAGTGGCCAGAAGGTGCAGAGATGGGCAGAGGGTGCAGAGTGGGCAGAGGGTGTGGAATGCACGGAAGCGGGGCATGGCTGTGACCACATAGCGGGAAGTGATGAGTGTGGTTCGGATGGAGACAAGGCAGGCATGACTGAATGCCGGGAGCGCCAAGGGCTCAGGAACTGGAGGTAAGGTCGGAATACCGGCAGGGTCTAGGTTCTGATTACTGGCCAAGTCTCATGCAGTAAGGCAGGAGGCCAGACATGGGGTTGGGGGCTGGTTAGGATGGGTTTCGGGTCGGCGGATTCGCCTATCGGCATTGGTTCGCCACTGACGGAGCCCCGGGATTTGTCGGTCGTGACACAAACCCACATGGCCTATGCTTTCGCATGTTGAGGAAATGAGACACAACAAGGTGTCGACTATTGGGATAATTGGGTATGGTTTGGGTTGGAATGGGGAATGCAACAGTGGCCATAAGGGATTTCCATCAATTATTTTAGTGCAGCATGTCATACTTTCATTGGTGTCAGAGACCAGATCGAGACGAAGGAATGTCTCCATGACAGAGGGCTTTGGCCTCAGCGACTTATGCCAGGAGCACTGTGCCAAGTAACACGTCTGTGCCCTAACTTACTGTGAGGTCTTTGGGGTTGCTCAGCACACAAAGCCGTAAGTGATACAAGATGATGTATTTTACGGTGGTGTGTAAGCGGTTACCCGGAGGTTCCCGCTTGTCCACGTGACTATATCTATCTAGTTTACATGTGACTCGGGGTTCGGGGCTATTGCCCTGACACCCAGGCAAGACTGGGATCACTCATCGATTACATATCCTGTTATGGTACAGACCAGATATGACCTCACTCATCCCACTATAAGAACGGATCGAGGAATGGGGAATTTCCCCCATCCCCGTAACACCGGGTGTATGGTGGGCGCACTGCAGATGGGTCAATGGTACATTGATACAAAGAAGGTCGTCCGTGTAGAATAAAGAGGAAATCAAGGAGAAGTAAGATAGGAGGAAAGTGAGAAAGCATGGATGAGGAGAGAGGAAGCGGAAGGGGGAGGGGGTGAGGAGGGGTGGACAGCAGGGTACCAGGTCAGGTTGGGCTGGGTGGGTGTGCCTTGACACTCTGCCATGAATTTGTCCATAGTGATTGTGGGGGATCCTGCCATCAGCAGTGCCATTGTGTGCTGTGTAACCCACACTCCCACAGCTCCTCCTTTCATGTACGATAAGATAAAGAGGATCTGGGACAGAGTGTCAGGGAACTCTGCCATGCAGACATGGAAGTAGATCCCACACTCTGCCCTAAAGTGGTCAAGGTCCTCACTCATGCCAGCAAAGGTGGTTGGGGGTGCAACCTTGGGTGCTTTGGGTTTGGGTGTGGGTGTGGGTGCAGGTGCGGGTGCAGGTGCAGGTGTGGGTGGGGGCAGTGGATTTTGGATTTGGCTCTCGAGGATGGCTTGCAGTTCCTGGAACCTGGTCAGTAGGTCCTGGTACTGCTCTTTGGTCACCATGCTGGAGGAGGTGGGGGAGACTAGGTTGAAGCCTTCTTCAGGGATGGCACAGGAGAGGTAGGGGTAGTGATGTAGTAGTGCCTGGTGCTAGCAGCCCAGACAGTGGTAGAGTAGTATAGCAGAGAGCCCTCACTCCGGCTTGCATCCCTGTCTGGCTTCTTAGACTGAAGCAGGAATGATTGTTATTAGAATGAAGTACTTGCCCAAAGCAGGAATGAGAAGAAGGCTACTTCTTCGGTTCTGCTTCAGCTCAGTTTATATACAAGTGGGAATGGGTCATGTGAGGGTGCCACATCAGCCTCGGACAGAGCTGGGCTATTGCAGGTGGTTCCACAGGTGATCCTGAGTGTTAGAGAGGAGAGGTACAAGTAGGGATGTGCAGTGCATCTGGCAGCACAGTACCATGTGGGGTGCTCAGCATTGGACATGTCCATGCTACAGGTGTAAGAAAGGGGGTTGTCTGTATAAAGAAAGAAAAGGGAAGAGAGGAAAAAGAAAAGGAGGGAGCAGCGCAGAGTGGTGTGCCCTGACAGGAAGGAGTTGGGGGAACAGAACATGAGGTCAGATCCAAAGGTGGGGATCGGAATGGACAGGGATAGAGGTGAAACTGTGGAGGTGGTGGAAAGGGTGTGGGGGTTGAATTGGGATCCAGTATGGTGTAATGGTGTCATAACCATCCATGGCCATCACCCTCCACTACCTTCAGTCCTTCTGGATTACCTCCGCTCCTTTGTCACTAACCTTGGAGCCTCTGGATTCCACAACCACCTCCGACTCCCCTGATGGTCACCACCCCCTCAATTCAATATATTACCTATGCCTCCCTAAGTACAGAGCCCCGAAGGCCTCCAGACAGCTCCAACGTCCACTAGCGCACCCCCACCTCCACTGGGCAATTTAGTTGCTTGCCCTGCAAGTCTACCTTCAGGCTGATCCCTCCTTTCTGTTTCTGGGTTATAGCCCGTCACTCTGCTAAACCTGTAACCTGACTCGTCGGTAATATTCAGTCAGCTAACATGTAACTCCATTAGCTCCACTCCACTTGGCCCTGCCATTCACAGGCCCACCCTCTATGTAACTATATATACATAACTTGTAGATAGGTTACACCTTAGTTGTCATATCCATCCATGGCCATCACCCTCCACTCCCTCCATTCCTTCTGGATCACCTTTGCTCCCTCATCACTAACCTTGGAGCCTCCAGATTCCACAACCACCTCTGACTCCCCCAATGGTCATCACCCCCTCAATCCAATATATTACCTATGCCTCCCTAAATACAAAGCCCCAAAGGCCTCTGGACAGCTCCAGCATCCGCTAACGCACTCCTGCCTCTGCTGGGCAATTTAGTTGCTTGCCCTGCAAGCTTACCTTTGGGCCGATCCCTCCTTTCCATTTCTGGGTTATAGCCTGTCACTCTGCTAACCCTGTAACCCAACTCATTGATAATTTCAGTTGGCTAACTTGTAACTCCATTAGCTCTGCTCCACTCGGTCCCATCATTCATGGGCCTGCCCCCCAGGTAACTATATACATAACTTGTAGATAGGTTACACCCTAGTGATAAAATCAACTTGTCATATCTGTGCATACCCGACCCCAACCCGACTTCCGGACCTCCACCCTCTTCACCTCTGGAGTCATACCCTACCGCTGCCGGTTCCGATACTCACCTTTGGTCCTGGCAACACACCTCCTTCTACCCCCCACGCCACCTCTACTCCCGCCTCCGTAAGCTCCATAAGCTCTGAGCTTCGTGGATCACCTTCGGCACTTTCGCCACTGGTAATGTATCTCTCGCATTTTCCCCTCATCCCTATTTGGACTACTGCTTCTTCCCATTCTAGCCAGTTAGTATCATCCCCACTTCTCCTCATCCTCCTGCCCCTCTGGGCCTCGCCCTCCCTACCTCCTTTTGGACGTATCACAGGTCCTGCCTTATGACCTTCAGTACCACTCCGCTTCTTCTGCCCTTTGTTCCTGTTCGGACGTCTTCGTTCCGATTCGGTTCCCCTTGGTTCCCTTGTGCTTTTTCCCCCTCCATTATATATATCAGCGCTTGTACATACTCGTTTTGGCTCAGTCCGAAATCGACCTGAAATGCCCCCTAGAGACTTCCTGCTCGCCTACTGTGAAATTAAGGACCAAATGGACAAACAGCAATGGCACAGTGCTCTGCTTGAGTCGCTGAGGCCAAGGTCCCTCCACGCTAAGTCTCCGATTCCACTCCGGAGTCATCTGTATCCACCCATTTCTAACACAACTAGAGTTATCCCCCCTTCTTGTTCTTGTTGCCAGTTAGTAAATTAGGGCACAGATGTGTAACTAGGCACAACACTCTTGGTCTAAGTCGCTGAGGCCGAAGCCCTCTGCCATGGGGACATCTCCCTCATCCTGCATCTGGTCTCTGACATTAGTGATAAAATCGACTAGAGTTTCCCCTCTTCTAGTTTCCTTGCCAGTTAGGGCACAGACATGTAACTAGGCACAGTGTTCCTGGGATAAGTCACTGAGGCCAAAGCCCTCCACCATGGGGATGTCTTCTTCATCCCGGATCCGGTCTCTGACAAATGGGTCTATTGCTCTAGACTCACAACTCAGGTCTAGGGGGGGTAGGTCTCATGTAGTGGGTCCTCTATAGTATGGTGCTGATACTCTCTAACAAACTATACAGTGTCACAGAAGAGTCCAATACAATAAGAAACAGAAAGTCACATGCATGAATGGATGAAAATAGTAAAGAAAATGTCATATCTCCTCAACCACCCCACCAAATACAACGATCTGGACTTCGACAGAACCACCCACCCAGCCCCTACAACTCCCCTTATTACCCCGACCTACCAATCCTAGTCCCTGATGCAGTAAGGGTGAAGTGTGCAATGGGGCTTGTTTTAGCCTGCACGGACTTGTCCCCACAACAACAGATATGACAGTTCCATTCCTCCATCCTGGTAGGGCAATGTAAGCCAAGAGGATATCATGTGGGGATCACATGTGTACATGACTGTTGGGTACATCTGATAATATATATCTTGTTATGCTCATGTCCTAACACATCTGAAGTAATGTGGGCATGCTGTACAGGTTTTACAAAGTGTGTGAGGAAAAAGATTGTGGACCAGGTTGTGCACCATGTACATCTATAGTCACCACCCAACTTGTGCCAGATAGTTTCTAGTTCCCTCTGGTTGGCCTTTAACTACTGGTGCAGCATTATCCTGCATTTTTCTAAGTATTTGAGCAGGAGTCAGCTGCTTATTTTCAGCTCGATGTAAAGCATCAGCTAATATGGATGCAACACGTGCAGCTGCCGGGCCAGTGCCAGTCAAGCTATTTATTGCATCCACACGGCCAATCCAAGCACTTTGAGCATTGAAACCATCAGCAAAAACATCAACAAGCGGTCCATAGTTGGATATGGATAGGAAGTTGTGGAAGCAGTCAACAGCACCAACAGTGATAGCTCCGGGAGCAGATGCAGGACTGGAAAAGCTTGCATCCATGCGGCCATCCCCAGCAGCAACTACCACATACAACCCATGGTTGGTGGCCAGAGTGATGGCATCATTAATTGCCTGACTGTATCGTAGGTTGGCAGTTATCAGAACGATGGTCAAAAGTTCAGGAGTCTTTTGAAATTGTTTGTAGGCATATTCGATGGCTTTGAGTATGTTGATGGAGCGCACGTTTAAATGGGATTTGCAGACTTTGAGTGAAATAGCCATGGCAGTTGGTGCAACGCTATAACCGATCCCTATTGCCAACCCAGCCAAAAATGTGCCCAGGCCATCCTCATCCCCCAAAGTTGAATAACGGTAACCGAAGCCCTGTGCATTCAAGCAGGGATGAGTGAACATATATGGTAGGGAGTACATAACTTGAAAGAGATACACACCGGACCAGGAGCAACCCGCGGTACAAGCTGGCCAAACTCATCAATTTCATCACCACTGAGGCTGTTGTGGGATGTAAAAACTCCAGTAGCGATTATGAAAACCATTACTTCCTGCCCAGTTACACGTGCTTTGAGTCCAACTGGGTCATCCTCATCCTCCATTTCAACAGCAATGTCATCGCTCTCTGCCACATCCCTTTCATTCACATGGTGGACATCATTGTCACTGGAAGTTGTGACATCTGCTTCGACATAGTCAACTTCAGAGCAAATGAGAATGCAACTAAGGGGTGTTCCAGTTGCATATACTGAATAGCCATTCAGGACTACAAAAGTTAGCATATTAATGGGGATTCTCTGATGATATCCACTTACTCTGATACCGGTAAGTGACTAAGAATTTTGACCCAGGGTTCTGGGTGGATATCCGAGTAATACTTTCGATATGGTCTTCTAAATTTGCACCAGATTTCAGCTTACTAAGTAGCGAATCAGCCAGTGTTATGTTATGCCTGTGGGTGGGACATACATGATGTATGAGTCAGGCTTTACTGGACCCTTTGGCATCCTGATAGGGATGGAGGCAGCAAGGGCCAGAGTTGTTGTTGTGAGGGTAATGACAATAATAGCTGCAGTTGAGAACTTCATTGCTGTAGCCAACAGATGGGTTGTGAAGAACAGGGGAATTAGGAAGGAAGGACTGACAAAAAGCTGGAGGTATGCCTAACCATACATATAGGTTATCAGCACAATGTACAGACACCTATTTATGGAGCTGTTCAATGAATGGGAACCATCTATGTATCATTGTGGTATTGATGGTCCATGGGCTTCAGCTGCCATATCAAATTAGAGAAGACTGATGTGGGTGTGATGAATGTAATAAAGATGAAATCAGAACATGGGACAACCCTTTCCCTACAGACCAATTGGGGGCAATATGGAAAATCCTTGTGTACTTGTCCCAGCACATCATGAAAACCGGCAGATGCTCTCATTGAGCTAGCTGTTGAGTGCTCCTGAGCAATTAGAGCAATCATCAGCAAACCCCCACAGTTGCACCTTGGACAACCACTATGTGGGCCTTTATAGGGGGCACCTCAGGACATTGTAGGCAGGAATTGCCACTGCACCCTAGATGAACTGAATATTGCAATTTCCCCATCCCAGCACATGATCAGTTCACAAAACACATTGCATATACCATTCATTATTTTCTTCCAATCTTTCTGGACACATTCCTAGTCACCACAGACCAAATTCCCACACCCACCCAGCAGCATGGTCACACATGGATTGGATCCCACTTATCTCAGCAACCACTGCACCAATTTGAACAATATTGGTACCATTGGAAATGCCTCATTGAGTAGTATTAGCATACATCATGAGTGGGAATTGATTAGTGATGGATAGATTTGATTATTTTTTGGTTGGAAACCATTTATTGCTTCATTGTTTTCTTGATTATTGTTTTCCCTTCCTTTTTTCCAATATTGGTTGTTTCCCATATGGTCCATGGGGGACATTGGATATTTTCCAGCATTTTTCTTTGATATTGTGGCCACTGTAGGAAGATGAGACTTAGCTCCCTTCTCATCTTCTTACCCACAGTAGGTTGTGCCCTGGATAGGGCTGTTTACACAGTGGGCTGTGTGTGAGGTCTCAGTGGGGGTTGCTCAGCACACGAAGCCGTAAGTGATATGATGATGTGTATTTTACGGTGTGTGTAAGTGGTTCATGGAGTTCCCACTTACCCATGTGACTATATGTACATCGTAATTACATATGGCTTGGGGTTTGGGGCTATTGCCCTGACACTGTGGGCCATAGGGGAGGGTTATGGGGACCTGAGTGTCAGGGCATACACCCTGACTAGCCCGGACCCAGACCCGTGTCCGGACCTGCTTCCACCCGCTGCGCTTCCCACATGCACGCATGCTCTGCGCACCGCATGCTCCGGACCCGGTTTCTACCCCTTCATGTGACTTCCGGGTATCCCCGGAAGTTTTGCTGATATTGTGGCCACTGCGGGAAGATGAGAAGTTAGCTTCCTTCTCATCTCCTTACCCACAGTAGGATTGTGCCCTGGATAGGGCTGGCCAGACCAGAGGCTGTGGACCATAGGGGAGGGTCATGGGGACCCGGGAGTCGTCCCCTGACACTGAGAGTCATCCCCTGACAGATCCCTAGCCCACTTACAATGTTTGCATGGGGCCTTAAAGGCCTTTTTCACTATAAATGTCCTGGAATGTCTTCAGAAGTCCTAATTCAGTTTGATTCAATGATTGAAAATTGTCCTGGAATGCCATACTTGTCCATCTTGTGGTCTGTGCACATGCTGACCACTGTCTAGAGGGACATCAAGATGGTTTCCCATGGTCTTGTTAGAATCGGGTGAGTGCAGATGATTCCGGAGTGGAACTGGAGACTTAGCAAGGAGGGACCTTGGCCTCAGTGACTCAAGGGGAGCACTGTGCCATTGCTGTTTGTCCATTTGGTCCTTAATTTCAGACATAGTGAGTGAGAAGTCTCTAGGGGGCATTTCTAGTCAATTTTAGACTGGGGGTCTATTGAGTATGTCCAAGTGCCTGTATATAGTAGGGAGACAAAAGCACGAGAGAAAAGAGGTGGTCCAAAGCGGAACAAAGGCATCCAAATGGAGACAAAGGGAATTATAGAAATGGAGCAGTACCAAGGGTCATGGGTTAGACTCTATGGCACATCTGAAAGGAGGTAAGGAGGGCGAAGCCCAGAGGGGCAGGAGGATGAGGTGAAGTGGGGTTGATGACTAACTGGCTAAATGTAAGGAAGCAGTAGTCCAAATAAGGATGAGGGAGAAGTGTGAAATGTATACTACAAGTGGCAAAGGTGCCAAGAGCAGTCCATGAAGCTTGGAGGTAGTGGAGCTTACAGAGTTGCAGAGGTGGAGTCAGAAGTCTGAGGAATATTGGCAATGGTGTTTATGTGGCATGAGGTCACCAATGCAATGCACTTAAGCTGAGGTGGAGTCAAAGTCCGAGGTCAGAACCATGACAGGATCTCGGAGCGAAGGTACGAGTGGTGTCTGAGTATGGGGTATGGGATGGCAGCAGAAGGTCATAACTTGGCAGAGGTTGGTGGAAGAGGGATGGAAGGAGAGGAGTGAGGAGAGGAGTGAGGAGAGAGAGGTGATGTCAGGTCTGAAGGTGGATATTGGAGCAGATGGGAATAGGGTAGGACTCTGGAGGTGGTGGAGAGGGGGGTCCGGAAGTCAAATCGGGATTGGGTATGTATGGATATGACAGCCAGCATCATTACTTTTTGTTTTTAAATAATGGATGGTCTTCACATCTCCATGAAATATGCTTAGTTATTTTGGCACCAGTGGTGCAAAGTGTCATATCCATCCCCGGCCAACGACTTCCGGTACCTCCAATCCCTCCGGTCTACCTCCGCTCCTTCTCCACTAACCTCAGAGCTGTCAGGGCACACCCCACCTGACCCTGCGCCGCGCTGCCCTACTCCGCTTCCCTGCTATCACCCTTTGTCTCTTCTTTCCCCTTTTCCTTCTTTCTTTCTATTTCCTTCTATGGTCGACTTCCCTTTCTCTATGTATTACTAACACACCTAACCCTGCTCCCCCGATCGCCGCACCCGCCGCGCACATTCCCGCTCACAGAGTGGCACACCTCCGGGATCTCCCACAGAGATACCCAGGGGAGTGCGGCTGTGTGCGGGGATGACGTGGCTCCTCCCACATGACCCTGACCGCATGTATATAATAGCACCTGGGGTGGGAACAGAAGAAGCAGCCTTCTTCTCAACTTCCCACTTCAGCCTAAGTGGTCGGGGACACTCACCCCGTGACGGGATCGCCGCTACGCACAGCTGCTATCTGTCCCACCGAGTCCCACATGCAGGGACCTCGCCACTTTCGGAGCTGTCCCTGACAGCAGAAGAAGGCTTCAACCTCATCTCCCCCGCCTCCCCCGCTATGGTGACCGAAGAGCAGTACGATGAACTGCTGTCCCGATTCCACGAGCTCCAGGCCATCGTAGAGAGCCAAGCTCAGAACCAGCCCCCAGCCGCGCCTGCACTGGCGCCGGTCCCCGCACCAACACCTGCACCCGCCCCTAGACCCAAACCGCCTAAAGTTGCCCCCCCCCCACTGCCTTCTCTGGAGCAGCCGAAGACCTTGACCGCTTCAAGGCCGAATGCAGCATATACTTCCATGTCCGAGCAGCGGAATTCCCCAACCACCTCTCCCAGATACTCTTTGTCCTGTCCTACATGAAGGGAGGGACTGCAGGGGTGTGGGCGACGCTGCACACCATCGCGCTACTGATGATGGGCTCCCCCTGACTCACCATGGACGAGTTCAACACGGAACTCGACGCCATGTTCCAAGACCCGAACTGCGAGGCCACAGCCAGACAGAAGCTGGCCACTCTGTGGCAGGGCAGTGACTCCGTGGATAAGATCATCCAGGAGTTTGAAATCCTCGGACCCGCCTTGCGGCTAGGGGACATGGGGCTAGTGGATCGCTTCGAACAGGCGATCAACTCCCGGCTCTGCGAAAGCATTTACCGCCTCTGCCCCATGCCAACCACCTGGGCCGAGTGGAAATGCGAGGCCAGCCTCCTTGACAACCAGTGGTGGCGTTTCCAGGCAACGCAACCCTGCTTAGCCCCCACCAGGCCCCCACTCTTGCCCCCGAGACCCCCACTCCCTGCCACTCTCCCACAACCATGCCCTGTACCCACTGCCGCCGCACCCCAGCCCCCGCGCCCCGCCCCGCAACAGGAGCAGGGCCACAACCCATGGACCTTGACCGCTCGAGGACTGACCAGAGATGAAACGGGCTGTGTTACAATTGCAACACACCAGGGCACATCGTGCGGGATTGCCTGCAACCGAAAACCCGCTGAGCCAGACGGATGCACCCTGAAGATCTCAGAGCGCTCATGAAGGGGCTGAGGAGACAGTTGGTAGATGGACCAGAGGCAGAGGGAGAAGGGCAGGAAGCGGAGGCCCAAGAGGATTTTCAGGAAGGCGACCGGTGAGGGATGCGTCCCGGCCGCCTGCAGGCGATAGTACCAACTCGTGTAGATACCGTGAGGCACCTAAGTCGGCGCCGATGTCTAAATTCCACCGAGTCATCGCCAAGAACAAGAGGAAAACCGCATCCTCGAACAAAGAGATACCAAGCACAGCGCCGGAGGTAGCGGTCCCACCACCGGCTATCTACGTGCTGTCGAAGCAACCCCCCAGATCCCTCAACCTAGCCGTAAAGCTAACCACCTTGACCTCCCTCGCCACAGTCTCTGTATCAGCCCTCTTAGACTCAGGAGCCACCAGGAACTTTGTGAGCCCCGAGTTCGTCAGAAAGCACGGGCTCGAGACAACCCCGCTCCCCCAACCCATCCCTGTCCGCAACGTTGATGGGACCCCAAACAAGAATGGGGCCATAACTGAGGAGCTAGAGGCCCTTCTGACATTCGGACGGCACACGGAGCGGGCCCGCTTCGCCATCGCAAACCTGGGGCGGCAGTCCCTCATCATAGGCCATTCGTGGTTGCTGCACCACAACCCAGAGGTAGACCGGATGCGGCAAAAGGTCAGTATGTCTCGCTGCCCATCCTCCTGTCGGTTGATGTGAGGACATG